ATCATCATCATCATCATCATCATCATCATCATCATCATCATCATCATCATCATCACCATTATCATCCAATGAAACATGAACGATTAATTGGAATTCATAGAAAGTTATTTGATAGCAATCAGTCTTTTTTCGTGTCCCAAAGATTTTGACATTAAAAAAAAAGCAAAAAAAAAACAAAAAAAAAACAAAACCAAACAACCAATAAAAACGTTTTTAGGTGCTTCATTTTATGATTGTCGCCTGGTTTACTTTTCTCATAAATTTGTGAAAAGTAAAAGACACGAATTTCTCATCCATTACCTCTCTCTCTCTCTCTTTCTTTTTTTTTTCAACCCTCAAATAGTAATTAAACATTTCCAAAAATCTCATATTTCACGTAGATTCATTTTTCTCAACTCATCAGAGTAATATTATTCCAAAACAACAATCTTATCATACGTCTTTTTCAACGGAGAAAAATTTACGTCGAAAACGTGAACGGAATTATTGGCGATTAATTAATATTAATAAAAAAATAAGTATCACTTCATCGAATTTCAATAATACAACAACATCGATTACTACTACTACTACTACTACTACTACAACTACTTTGTGTACTAGTACTATTACTACTACTACTACTACTACTACTACTACTACTACTACTACTACTACCATTGTTTCACGTCCTACGTGTTGTTGTTGTTGTTTACATTCTAATAATTTATACTTTGATATACGTTATTTACGTCATAAGGAAAATCTTCTACCATTAATTTATGCAATGTCTGAAGACGTTGATACGCATATTATTGAACGATATGATTTACATAAACGTCTTGGTAAAGGTGCTTATGGAATCGTTTGGAAAGCTGTTGATAGGTAATATTGTTATTTTTCATACATTAATTAGTTTGATAAATTAATTAGTTCAAAGAAATTGTTGTTTACACGTGCATTTATCAAGTGTAAAGTTTTGAAAGAACAAAAAGTTTTATTGAAAAGTGTAAATGAAAAAAAAAAACTTCAATTCCTTTTTTTTTTTATTTTTTAAAATAAAAAAACTTCTAATTTTTTTTACTTTTTTTTTTAAAATTT